ATCCCTCGTGCAAGCATGCGTGCAGTCCGTTAAAAATAAGCATGCAACAATACAGCGTGTTACGCGTTGTTCTCCTTCCGTTGGCTTAAGTACTGGGGTCCCAGGGATGGGTCATAACGTGCCACCCCGCGGAGCTCAGACTAGTGGGGAGACCTACAGCAAAGATAAACCACATAGGTTAAAGTATGAAAGTTCAAGTTAGTACGAACTGTGGAGATGAAAAGCCCAGAGTGCTGGAGAGGTTTTATCAAGTTCCCCGCCTGCAAACCCTGTGGAATTAAAGCTGCGAGGTGAATCACTGAATTCCAGGGTGGAAAACGCAGGAATGCATTTTCTCGGGAGAAAACGTGGGCTGGTGAAGGAAGGTCAGTAGGATTGGCCTGCAGAGAGCCTGTGATGGTTAGTTTTTGTCAGCTTAAGCGAAACTCATCTGGAAAGTGGGAATCCCGACAGTCAAAATGCCCCATCAGACTAACCTGACCACAAGGGTGGCAGGGCTTTTTTCCTGTTTCAGACCCCATGCGGAAGAACCCAGCCCATTTTGGGCGGTTCCACCACACCCCTTCCAATTTCCCCTACCAGGAAGGTGGTCCCAGGTTGTATAAACAGAGCAAGCCTGGGAGAAGAAGCAAGGAAGCAGCAGTCCTCCGGACCCTCTGCTTCAGCCCCTGCCTAGATTTCCGTCATTAATGGACCGTGATGTGGAAGCATAAGCCAAATACAGGCTTCCCTCCCGAGTTGCTTTGGTCATGGCTTTTGTCAAAGCAGTCCCTCAACCCTGCCTCTGTTTTAAAATGGGATTGCTTGTACCAGGCTAGGCTCCTCAGGACTGAACTTGAGAGTCTGTCTCCCCTGCCTTAGTTCATTCTCCTCTGACATAACCTGTAGATTTACACAGCCTGTTCTCTAAGTTGAGGATTGGTTCAGTTATTCCTTTCTGAAACACTGACTCATGTTTTGTCCTTGGCACTAAGGCTTCAGAGAAGCCATACACAAGACCTGCCCTACTGGAGCCTGTGCAGGATGGCCATGTGGCCATCTTGACCCTGAGCCTTGTGAGAAAAGCTGCCTTGCTTCTGTCTGGGTACAGGTTTCCCAGAAAGCTCCACCTGGTCCTGCCAGCCCCAAGAGTCCCAGAGAACTTGCTCCCACTCTTTCGCAAGTGGCTTTTAGTTCTTGGTGTCCCTTTCTAAGATCAGCCAGAAGACTCCTCAACGGCATCTCACTGGTCCCTGGCTGAGGACCCCTCAGAACTTGAGAGCAACACATATTTGAGAGTGTGTTCTTCACTTCCAGAAACACCTGTAGGTCACTTAGTACTTACATATGTGTGTGTTTATATTACTTCCTTTATTTTTTTTAGATTGTAATATAATTACATCATTTTCCCCTTCCTTTTTTCCCCCTCCAAACCCTCCCATAAACCTCTCCTTGATGTCTTTCAAATTCATGGCCTCTCTCTTCCTTAATTGTTGTTACATACATATATATATATATATGTGTGTGTGTGTGTGTGTGTGTGTGTGTGTGTGTGTAACAATAATTAGTACATATAATATATATATATATATATATATATATATATATTCATTGTAACAACAATGAATAAAGAAAGAGGCTTGGTATGTTTTATGCCTTGAATGAGCCTGGTGTCTTCTGTGGTCTTGTCCACACTATTGATACAGACTTGGGATTTTCTCTAAGAGAACAGAATGGGGAGCACAGTTAAGGGAGGAGCCTGTAGCACTGGAGGGTTGTGGTCAATAGATGACTTTTCAAAGGATGTTGGAAGGAGAGGAGAAAGCAGCTATGGCACTGCCCCTGTGTTCCCCTCACAAGCCATAGCAGTATGCTGGCCAAGACCAGAGGAGAGACTTAAACATGGTGGCCGTAGACCTTCGACTTCCCAGCTTTGCAACTGAAGAGGTCACTTGTTCTCTGGTGAGGATTGTGCAGGCTTAGCAGGTTCTTGGCAGATTGTTCTGCTCTGAAGAAATACTCATCCCTCCCGCTTCCTTCTCCAAATAAACTAAAGCAAGAATAATAGTGCCTGCTCTAGAGGCCATTGGGATCTTGAGTACCCAGAATGTAGGAAGTTACTATGCTACTAGTATTGCCTCTTCCTTATCTTGGCAGACACTGATGAGGTCGGGAGGGAAGTGTGGTGGGGGATGAGGACCTGAGTGGGGTGATTAGTGGGGGATGACTTTATCTATGGCAATGGCTTCCTCAGAAAGCACCAGCCTCCAAATGAGAGGCCTGTTCTACATGATAGTGGACCTCTACCCAGCAGCGCTGTCAAAGGTCCAAGAGACTGACAAAACTTGGGCCAGAGAAAACAGAAGAAAAAAAAAAATGGAGAAATTAGTCCATAGGTCTAAAATTGCCTTCAGGGCTTATCTTTAACTCATGACCGAATTCATGAGTCCGCTGCAGGGGGCTACTGTTGCTCTAACTGGCTGACCTCTGTTAGCTTTGTGACTATAGTAGTATGGCTTTGATAATTGCCTGGGAATGATCTCATTCACCAAGTAGTTTGGGAGCTGTGGAACATTATAAGCCCTGCACTAAGCAGCCAGGCTCAAAATATACAAACAAATGAACAAGTGAAAATAAATCCAAGAACTTTTTGAAGGTAGGTGTGGTGTGTGTGTGTGTGTGTGTGTGTGTGTGTGTGTGTGTGTGTGTTAAATATGAGTATGAAGGCAGAGAAAAAATAACTAATGTGCTTGAGCATTTGCAGAGGACTGAAGCTTTCATGTAGGAGGCACCCTGGTGGGTAACCCCATGGCTTTCCAATCACATTACACAGCCTATGACCGAAGTCTTAGCAATGATTTATTTATTTTTTCATTTCGGGAATGGTACTTAACTCATAATAAGCAAGATAAGTACCTGAAGGGCTAGCCTCAGCACACACATGAGGTATGGAAAAATCCTTAGTAATAGCCATTGGTATTATATTGTGTTTATCAGTCTTCCCATGGACCACCACTACCACAAGGAAAATGAAAGTCACAGATGTGTGACCCCAGTTCTGAATCAGGCCTGTCTGGTAGCAGAGGCACTTTAGACAACCAGGCCATGTGTATTAAGTGCAGTTAGCCTCATGTGTATGTCTCTAATTACTTAAAACACTGGACTATAGAATTTTTTTCTTTTCTTTTTAAGATGTAATTCCATCATCTCTCCTTTCCCTTCCCTCCCCTCCTTCTAAGCCTTCCCATATACCCCTCCTTGCTCTTTTTCAAATTCATGGCCTCTTTTTTTCATTAATTGCAGTTACATGCATATATGTATATACATAGATATTCCTAAATATAACCTGCTCAGTCTGTATAATGTTACTTGTAAAGGAAAAATAAAACCTGCAAAATCATAATTTATGTGCCTTTTGAGTGCAGGTGTTTTATCATCTAGATAAATCTTCCATGCATCTATGTTAAACCACTTTGAGCTGTCAGAGCTCTTAAATAAAGTGGCTTGTCCTGACCAGTGTCTGTCTCTGCTCGTTTATCACCGCTCCCTAGTAAAGATGGACAGATCCCATTTCACAGGGCAGGCCCCAGGCCAGCAGCTCCCACCCCATGTATTAGCCATGCAGTCCCTGAGTGGGGTGGTGTTTAACAAGTCACAGTGGACGATGCCACCTCCCCTCGTAAGTGGGGATTTTTCTTTCTTTTTTCCTCTGTGTTGCTGGGGATTGAACCCATGACCTCATACATCCTAAGCAAGGGCTCTTCCACTGAGCTGCATCCCAGCCTCAGATAGCTAGGCATTCCCTGGCCAGTATGAATGTGGGATCACACTGTGGGGAAATCTTAAGTTCTCTGAGGTGATTGGTTTGAAGGTAAATGTGCCTGGCTTGAAGGTGCCTACATTGTCCAGAAGTCATAACTGTCTGGTCTTGCCATCCAGAGGTGCCGTCTCTGGGCCTGGCCTCTTGCCCAAGGAAGCCAGCTCTGCTCTTTGCTGCCCTGCCTCTGGCCACAGCTACCCCTGAAATCTTGATTCATAGGCAGCTATTGAGGCACAGCTGTAGCAAGTGAGCCTTCCTCAGTCAGCCTGTGACTTCATGGTGATAGGATACCTGTCTGAAGGCCCCAGTGCTGCTTTTGTTGGCTGGAGCTCTTCCACAGCTGTGGGACCAAATGTTCCTGGGTCCTAGCACACCACCTGGCCCATTGTCCTGCCTCCCTATATCGTTTCCTTACACAGATACCTCAGCCAGGGTTCTAGGGATTCGAGTGGGGACTCAGAAATGGCTGTCTTAGCCCATATGAAACCTGAACACAGGAGGCAGGTATAGTAAAGACAGACATGGGCATATAAGCAGGCACACAGCAGTGAATTGTCAAGGTGGTTATCTGCTGAGCATGATAGGCCTGGGGTCCCAGGACAGCGAGTGAAAGTGGGACTGCAAATAATGTTGGTTGGAGGCCAATGCTGCAAGGCTAACGCCTTGGAAGACCACTGCAGAACATTTTTGTAAAAATTCTGGTGATCACTGATTTGTGAACTTACTGAGAATATACACTTTTAAAATGGTGGGCCTCCAGCTTCCAAGTAGAAGAGTCGGTCTCATGTTCGAGGCTAGTGTTTACTATGCAGTTCCTGGTTGCATGTTGTCTCCGGTGTCCTCACTGCCCATCCCAGACTCCGTCAAGGCAACAAATGGCACTGACTCAACTAAGGGCATATTTGGTGAGGTGAGTGCTGGAGCCCTCTTCCTTTTGAGGGACAGAATGCCCAGAGAGCTTGTTTTATCCTATGCCTAGGCCTATCAGGCTGAAGGCTCACATAAATGTTAGCATGTGATGGCCAGTGGCCTGTCACCTCAGAGAGGGAAGGGCAACAGTACCTGCTGCTTACCCTCAGGGTGGTCCTTGTCTATCTGCACCTGCTTGAGCTGGCTAGGCTAGT